CGTTTGGGGCGATTTCGCTCCTCTTGGAGCTGCAGAGGCCCCCGGAACGACCCCCCGCTGGACCCGATGACGGACGCGGCTTTGACGCCAAGAGCCCCCGAGGCTCGTCGGAGCGAACGGTGACGTGAACCGCTTTTGACCGTCGAGGCTCCCAGGGGCGACTGGTGACGTGAACAGCTTTTCACGCCGAGGCTCCCAAGAGCGAGCGGCGACGTCAGCAAGTCTTCGCACCAAGGCTCCCAAGAGCGCACGGCGACGTGCAAAGACGCTGCACACCAGTGCTCTCGAGAGCCAGCGGCGACGTGCAGCAGCTCCTCACGCCAAGGCTCCCAAGGGCGAGCGGTGCCATGGGCCCTCTCGGGCGAGTCCCCGAAGCGCTCTTTCCGTCCTGAGCTGGCCCAGGTGACGGAACGAACGAGGTACGGGTGATGACTTTCTGGTGGGGCGAAGCCCTTCGAGAGGTTCCAGGGAGGGGGCGAAGCGGAGCACGCTGGACCTAACACGACCGGGGGGGGGGGGTCCAAAACGGTCCAAGAGGCGTCCAAGACGGCCCAGGATTCACCCAATACGGCCTTGAGAGGTCCAAGACGTCTTCGAGACGGCCCGAGAGCGCCCCAAGAATGCCTCAAACCGCCCAAGAGCGTTCCAAGATAGCCTACGATGGCCTCAAGACGGTCCAAGAGGACTCCAAGACCTCATAAGAGGCCTTCAGGAGGGCCCCCATTGGGCCTCAGCAGACCAAACACATTGTTATTCCTGTCGTTTTTGACGGTTTTTAGGGTTCTCGCCTGTTCAGGGGCTCCGACACGGCTAAAACGGCTCGAGAGGCCCACATATTGCTTCAAGACGGCCCCAGAGGCTCCCCAGAGGGCCCCAAGACGACCCAAGAGGGCCCCGAGACGGCCCAAGAGGACCTCAAGATGGGCCCGACGGGGCCCCGAGAGAGGGTCATGGGAGGCCGCCGCGAGGGCCAGGGAGGGCCCCGAGCGGGCCCGGAAACGGTCCAAGATCCCGAGGACGGCCCAAGAGGCTCCCGAGACAGCCCATGCCCGAGGACCCCCCGGGCGGCCCGGGGAGGCAAACCACACTGATTTTCCATTGGTTTCCCCCGATTTTTTTGGATGTTCGCCTTTTCGGGCCAAGATCGGCCGAAGACGGCTCGAAGGGCCCCTGCGGCTGCCGCAAGACGGCCGAGGAGGCTCCCAAGAGGGCCGCGAGACGGCCCAAAAGGCCACCAGGACGGCCACGGATATATATATATTCATATATATATATATATATATATATTATTATACACACATATATATATATATATATATATATATATATATTCATATATATAGTTATATAGAAAGAGAGATACATACATATATACATATATACACATATATATAGAGAGAGAGAGGGAGAGAGAGAGAGAGAGAGAGAGAGAGAGAAAGAGAGAAGGAGAGAGAGAGAGAGAGAGAGGAAAACAAAATAAACACCCAGAGGGTCCGAAGATGGCCCCAAGAGGCTCCCAGGAGGCCCCAAAGAGGACCCAAGAGGGCCCCAGGCGGGCCCCAAGCGGGCCCCAAGCCGACTCAAGCCCCCCAAGAGGGCCCAAGAGGCTCCAAGGGCGGCCCACGAGCCTCCCAAGAGGACCCCTGAGGCGGCCTGAGGAGGCCAACAACCCTTGATTCTCTTCAGAGTTTCCACTGTCTTTTTGGGTTCTCGCCTCTCCGAGCCCAGATCGGTCGAAGACCGAGGCTGCCCCAAGACGGCCCCAGAGGCTCCCGACAGAGCCCCACGACGGCGCAAGAGGGCCCCAAGGACGGCCCCGCGAAAGCCGCAGGACGGCTTGAGAGGGCCCCCGAGAGGGCTCCAAGAGGGCCCCCGAGGGAGCCACGCGAGAGAGCCGTCGGAGGCCCGCGAGAGGCCCGCGAGAGAACCCCAGGAGGGCTCCGAGAAGGGCCGAGCCCCCCCGCGGGACGGCTCGAGAGGCCCCCAGGACGGCCCGGGAGAGCCCTGAGAGACTCGCACAAGAGCCCCCAGAGGCCCACACAAGAGCCCCGAGAGACGGAGAGATTCACACGAGAGCCCTGGGAGACTCACACCAGAGCCCCCAGAGGGCCCCCCCGATGGCCCAACGACGGGCGCAGGTTTGACGGCAAGGCTCAAGGCCTTCTGCATCCGAGACGGTGACGTAAACATTTTTGAGCGCCAAGGCTCCCAAGAGCGTAATTAGCTCTTATCCCCCGAGCGAACGGTTGCGTACGCAGCTCTTAATTCCAAGGCTCCCAAGAGTGAGCGGTGATGTACCCAACTCATTACACCAGGGATCTCAAGAGCGAGCAGTGCCGTAACAAGCTCTTCGCGCCAAGGCTCCCAAGAGCGAGCGATGATGTGAACAGCTCTTTACGCCAAGGCTCCCCAGAGCGAACGGTTACGCACACAACCGTTCACACCAAAGCTCCCAAGAGCGATCGTGGCCGTGACAAAGCTCTGAACGCCAGGGCCCCCAAGAGGGACGGTGCCGTGAGCCTTCTCGGGCGAGTTCCCGAAGCGCTCTTTCCGTTCCCGCGCCGGCCCAGGCTCTAACGCGCTCCAGCGTGCCGTCATGGTGGCGGATAGCCGATCTGATCGGGAGGAAGCCCGACACCCTGCAGTGGTTTGTAGCTAGCGATGTATGGGCGCTCTTCTTCTCCCTCCTTCGGCCAGGTGGGATGGTTAGCACGAGCATCGCCGGCTCTTTTTCAATGTTTTTCTTTTGGTGTTTTCCAGGGCTGGCACGTCTGGCCTGGCCCAGTAGTTTGCCAGGGAAGGGGCGTTTCATTTCCATTTCATTTTTTGGTGTCGCTGGGTGGGTCGTACAAGTGGCGTTTGTTTGATTATTCCGCGGGCGAGCAACTTTCAGGAAGTCTAATATTTGCTCTGGCTTCAGCCCGCTGGCGTCAACTTTGGGCCAGGATCCGCTTGATGCGAGTACAATTTGGCCCGAGCAAAACTAACGCCGTAGACGAATCCACTCTCGATTGCCATACACGCCTCGTCTTCCTGCCGTACTCGTGTGGGCTCAACCGCCCTCGAGGCGCCGTTGCCACGTGGTTCCCTCATCGTTGTTCCGAAGTCATCAGGATGTGCCTTTTCTCCTGTGCGTAGAATGCCGGCCGAATTCCACCGACTATTCTTGTTTAGCTTCCTGCCCACATGCACTTCGGTTCTGCTGTGCCAAGATGCGCCTGCAGCATGCCGTCAATTAGACAATCGAAGAGATGTTCATGCGGATGCAAGGCGACACTCTATGGCCGAGCGCTATTTGTACACCCTTCGAGGCTTCAGTGGAAACAACGGCCCCCCTGCGTTGGCGAACCTCTGCTACCGAGGGATACCAGATTCGACTCCTGATTCCCAGGGGGTGTTTGGTATGGCTTGCTGGCAGGGGGTCCCGAAAGCATGGGGTTCGAGTAGGGGATCGACTGCATAATCAATTTACCCCAAATTGATTTTTCCGTCGAATCCACAGATCCGACGAGAAAAGCAATTCTGGGTTGACTCAACTCTGTAGTCGATGTCCTGCTCGTTTTTTTTCTTCCGTCCTTTCTGAGGTTCTCTCACGGGGATGCTGCTGACGACCGACCGCTACTCCGTGAGCAGAGGGGTCAAAGCTTTCAATGCCACCAAGCGCATGCAGGGTGACGACTGGCCCATGCATGCGATGACCATGTCTGGTATTATTCGATCGCTCCGCTCTCTCCGCCGGCCCGCGTTGCACGGCTGCTGCCCTCTTCTGGCTTGCTCGAGGAGGAGGAAGCGGAGGAGGAGGAGAAGGAGGAGAGGGAGGAGGAGGAGGGGGAGGAGGAGGCAGCTTGGGGCGCTCTTGGGGCCAGCCGGGGTCGTGGACAAAACACCTCTTCAAGAGGGCGTCTCGGAACCCCTTTGGCGGCATGGTTGGGATCCCTGGGGCCTTGGGGCAGCTCTTCGGGTCTCTGGGGGGCCTCCGGTGGGCCTCTCGGGAACCTGCAGGGTCTCGGGGGCCCTGCTTCGGGGAAGGCTCGGCATGTCATTTCGGATTCCCTGTCGTGGGGCCCTCTTGGGGGCCTGCAGCCCTCTTGCAAGGCCTCTCGGGCCATCTTGTGGCCCTCTTGGGCCGTCCCGAGGCCGTCCAGGGGGCGTCTTCCGCTGACTTGGGGCCATCTTGGGGGCCTTTCGGGG